ACTGTCACAACAGAACAACTCTTGCCCGGTGGAGACCCTGGTAGGATCTTCCCCACTAAGTGTTCTACCACCAGCCTTGTTCTGTCTCGTCTTTTTACCCTGCCCCAGTCAAGAATTCTTTCTGACTTGTCACCTTGGGTCTAGAGACTTGACACAGATCCTTGGTGATGTGATCCTAACAGTCTCTGCTCTGCTCTCTTTGTCATGGCCCAGTCATATGGGTCTCCTTAAAGACCCTTGAGTAGTATGGCCCTTCCTCTTGAGCATTTCTGGCTTGACCTTCCTTCTCCTTGATTTCCTTATTTTCACAACTGTAGATGTTTGAGATTGAGAGGCCTAGGGCAGTGGAAGCCCTGGTATTAGCACTTTGCTTCACGTGAAAGCTTCCCTGGGTATTCCCTTCCAAGGAGCTTTTGGTTCCTTGCCAGGGTGGCCGCCTCATTTTTTCTTCCAACAGCTGAGACTTATTCCTGGACTGTGGTAGCATGGAGTCAGCAGGTGGCGCTGTAATACCAAGGTCCTGTTTCGCATGGGGCAGCAGTATACAAGAGTTTGTGTGCATAACTTTTGTCTGCAGGGGTGTCTTTTCACCTACCTGATGGTGCTCTGCGCCACATCATGGGACCTTTCACTTGGGACTTGATACTTCCTGTTATGTCCATGTTTTTCTCTTCCTGTTTGCTCACAGGGGCAGATGATAGACTTGGTGAAAAGTGCCTGTGAGCCATGTCTCTCTACTTGATGTGCTTGGCCTCTTTCTCTAGAGGCCAGAGAGAGATTCAGTTTCTCTTGCCTTCTCTTGTTTACTCAGCCTTTTATAAAAGCATGATAGTCCTGCTCGGCATCCAAGAACATTTTACCAGGAACGCCAAGTTGAGTTCAGGTATTTTTCTGCCAAGGACACATCTGTATTCCGTTAATTTTTGTTCACTGACCTTTGCCTCTGTGCTTAAATTCAGTTAATCTGAACAGTGAGCTGTTCTGTCAGTGGCTATGTTAGACCTTTAGGAAATTCTTTGGCCCTTAGGTTTTTTTTTTTTTTTTTTTTTTTTTGGTTGTTTTTTGGTCTTTTTGAGACAGGGTCTCCCTGTAGCCCACAGCTGTCCTGGAACTCACTATATAGACCAGACTGGCCTTGAACTTACAGAGATCCACCTGCCTCTGCCTCCCGAGTGCTGGGATTAAAGGCGTGCACCACCACGCCTGGTTGCTCTTAGGTTTTTACCTATGCTTTATAGATGAATAGGCATGAACAGTTCATCCGGGTAGTGATCTTCAGGAGATAAAGCAGAGAGCAATGCATGATAACACAGCAGGAAGGATGCAATGTAGCACTCATTTCTGATTTCTGCATGTTGATGTGTTTGGGGCTCTGAGTATGGGAATTCTGAATCTTGTCCCTGTTTACCTTACCCCACACTCAGTTTTGGGGGCCTGGAAGACCTCATAGAGAATAACAGAGAGAGCGTCTGAGAGGTAACCATCATGGGAGATAGACATCAAGTAGGATCTGGATAGGGGGCCCAATGTGAAGGAGCAGTAAAATGTTCCAGAAGGCTGGCCCCTGGGCTAGCAAATGCTGGCCAGCCCTCTGGAAAGAGCCTAGTCTGTTTTGCCAGGCCCTTGAGGGAGCAGGCTTGGGGTGGAGGCCAGAGCTTGGGTCTACCCCCGGCTTGTGGCATGAATCGCTTTTCCTGTGTGGCTTCTCAGCTGCCACCTCGGCCACAAACCCAGCTTGCTCACTCATACACGGTCTGAGCCAGCACCTTCCTACTGCTGTCTTTGTCTCGACTCTTGTTAGAGTGGTGAGTGCTATGTCTGCTTGTGCCCCCTTGCCCCATCAGTGCCAGGCCCTCAGGTGGACATGGGATTGGCAAGAAGAAAGGCCAGGCTTGGGTCTGACCAGCAGCCTCAAACAGCCCTTGACCTGTCATGGAGTGCTTCCTATCCTGGGAGTGGAATGAAGTCACCTGGAAGGCCCCTTTTCATTGTGTTAGGTATGGAGGGAAAAGAGATGAAAGGTATAGTGCCAGCCTAAAGGCATTTGTAACCTGGTAGGGCAGCCAGACAACTGAACATCCTGAGAAGGCTGTCGGGATACAAAAGCATATGGTAAATTTCAGGCTGCTCTGGGAGCACCAGAGGGTGTCTCCTTGGCCCAGAAAGGCTTTCTCAAGGGAGGTGATGATTGAGCTGGCTAGGAAGGACATGGTAGCTGATGTGCAGAACCAAACCATGTTCTAGGGATGGCAAGGGTTTGACATTACTCCAGCAGTGGCTCAGCCAGAGGACCGACCAGTCGGATCTGTCTGCTTTGGGTTGATGGGAGCACTATACTGAAGCCAGTAGGGAGGAAGCATCAGACACTGGTGGTCGTCCTGTCCAGAGTTGACACGGAAGGCACTGGATAGTGACTTCGGCTGAGGGGCAAGGAGGACAAAGTCCAAGACCGCTCACATGCCTGCCACCACAGCAGGGACACACTTGGTAGTTGGCTCTGATGGAATAAGGGAAGGCCCATCTTGGCAGGCAGTGTTTGGAAGTGTTTGTGGTAACATCAGGAGCTGATAATTTATTATGTAATTGAGTTATGAGTCCACATGGTAGATAAAACCCTTTAAGGGATAAGGTTAAGTGAAGAAAGTCAAAAGTGCAAAGTAGACCCCTGAGGAACAGAATACCAGGTGGGGGACATTGAGAGTGTCCTGTCAGCAGCATCAGATGTCACAGAGTGTACATCTGAAAACTCAAGGGTATTTGCAGAATGAGGCAGTTAGGGGGTGAGGGCAGGGATGGATGGAAAGAGGACGGGAAGGAAGATGACATAAGTGTAGAGACTGCGAGAAACTTGATGTGGAGAGGTTGCAAGAGGGGACAAGAGAGTGATCCACAGTCATGGCTCCCACATAGGTGGTATGAAAGAGAACTATCAGGGTGTGGGGAGCAATAAGGGTGTCTGCCCTTGGAGGCCAACTAGGGTACTTGGGAGTGGGTGGGAAATGTCCATGACAGTTGGCCAGAGGAAGGAAAAATCAGGGCCTGTTTGGTGTAGCTCTGCTATTAATGGCTGAAAGTCAAAGGTCAGACTTGTGAGCATATACTGCCAAAGGTCTTATGCTGGGTTTTGTGAGTACCCTGGCCTATCTAGGAAACCCTGGTTCTCATTATCTGAAGAAGGCCTAGGATAGCAATGAGGAGTGCTGAACCTCTGTTGAACTACCACTGTTATCCCTAGTAGTATTCCCTTTCTGCCTGTGACTGTCATTTACCCGTTGTCCCTTGGTAACTGGGGTGACAGCCACCTGTGGGGCCTGGTGGGGGTGGTAACCCTTGGTTTTACTCATCTTTACTGGGACCCAGCAGTGCCCTCAAGCCCCATCTCTACCACCAGGTGGTACACATGCCCCCTACCCCATTTCTAGTTAGTGGGAGAGGCTTCTTCAATGTTATAGGGACCTGTTCAGGAGCCAGGAAGCTTCTGTGCTAGGAGTTGGGGCTGGTCATACTTGCCTTTCTTTCTGGCTTCTCTGTGACTTCTGGCCACTGTGAGTCAGGCCCATGACTTCTCACTGGCTCCTGGGGTGCTTGGTAGCTCCCTCCACTTTGAGGGCTCCAGCCCAGTGGGGGGCAGGCTGGTGGGCAGCTGGGGGCTGAGACATGGAAACCTGAGCCTTAGGCCACGAGGTCCCGGCCGCTAATTTTAGAGAGCACATGTCACTGGAAACTCTCCTCTCCTGCCAGGAATCAACAGCCTGGTTCTCCCTGTGCCGCCAGGGACCCCTGGGAGCTTCTTCCAAACCAGGAACCACAGAGGCCCCTCTAGTCCACATGTGCATTCCCCCAAACCCTTCTGCAATGGCCCTGTAGAGCCCTGGCTTAGGCCAGGAAGAGAACTCACCTGCTCCGCACTCCTGGTTTCCTCGCCTGTTTAGGCTGCAAGTGGGGATGGGCAGAGCCTGGCAGTGGCGCAGCGGGCCAGAGAAGCCTGTCTGGAAGCAGGCCACCAAGGTGGCTGCCCCTTTTCTGAGTAAGCACTTTTGTTGAAGCAACCCTAGAGCAGGCATGTTTTCTTCCCTTTTCCCCAAGTCTCTGCATGCACTTTGCCTGACTCCAAGTGCTGTGGCTAGACTTTCTGAAACATGTCAGGAAGTAGTCCCCTAGCTAGAGTGCTTGAGCAGTGCATTTTGCAAGGCTGCTTGAAGACCTTTCATCCTTTCCCTGACAGCCCATTCTCACTGCTGAGGGGACCAGTGCCTGCCCCCAGCTGCCCCTGTGCCTTACTCTTTTCTCTGTGCACTCTCGTCCAAGACAAACTCATTTTGGGTGCTGTTATGTGACAGATTAAATTGTGACAACTGGTTGTATGCTGATTTAGAAAGAGGATTTGAGGGAGAAGAATCCTTTCTATTCATGTTGGGATCTGGGAGCTGAGAAAGTAGGGTTCCAAATGCAGGTTATGGAGTCCTTCAGATGGGAGAGTTGGAATTATAACTGTGCACTTTTCTGGCTCTTGACCTTGGACACATTGCTTTATCCTACTGAGCCTCCATTTTGTCTGTTAAATGAGGGCAGCAACAGTATCTACCTCATAAGATAGCTATGAGGATTTTACCTGGCATGTTGGAAGTCCCCAAGTTGATTAGCCACCATTGTTTCTCTCAGGGAGGCATGCCTGGCCTCGCAGGGAAGAAGACAGTGTTGAGGCTTGTCTAGCATGTCCAGGCTCTCACCTGGAAAGTGCTGATGTTCCAAGACCTTGTGGTATAGCTAGGCTATGCCTTGGGTGTGCTTCTTCTTCTGGCCCCTCCCTGAGATACTTCCCAGAGCCCAAGGTAGCCAGGGGGATGGGCAGAGGCCAATTCTTGGGCCCCACTTTGTCCCTTGTATTGCCTGGTCCAGGCTGGAGGTAGGCTGGGCAGGTAGCAGCCAAGAAGAGTTCTTGCCAGTCCTTTAGCTCTCATGCTGCTTCTTACCTCCCTTCTTTCTATAAACAATTGCAGCCTGCTTAGACGCCTGGTGACTCTCATCTCCCAGCAGGCCACGCTGCTGGCCTCCAATGAAGCCTTTAAAAAGCAGGCAGAAAGTGCCAGTGAGGCAGCCAAGAAATACATGGAGGAGAATGATCAGCTAAAGAAGGTGAGTCTGTCTTTGCAACCTGAATGGGATGTCTGGAGCCTCAGTACTAGAGCCATATTCCTCAGGGGGCCATGGTGGCCACTGTCAAGCTGGGATCTCTGTGAGAATGCTGCTGCCTAACAAAGGAGAAATTTTTAGTGAGCGGGGGGTACCTGTTGGAAGGATCAGGGTAAATCTGGCACTTTCCACTAGCTCATGGGGGCATGGAAGAGAAGGTGGTATTGCTGCTGTTGTATTCATATGCTGGCTTCAGTGGCACTCTTTTCTGTTGAGAATGAATCGTCTGGTAGCTGGGGCCCTGTGCTGGGACCCTTAGTCTCTGAGAAGACCTTTGCTCTTCAGAAGATGGCTGTTAGCTGCAACCCTTCAAGAACATTGGTACTAGGGAAGAGACTGGGTTGTTGGCCTGTTAATGAACACTTAGTGAAGTGTAACCAAGGAAGGTGAAGTGTAACCAAGCTGGGAAGGAGAGTGATGGTGTGGAGATTAGTGGGGTACACCTGGATAGGAGCAGATTTGGGGCTTACTGGCTATAGTGAGCTGCTGCAGCCTTTGGAAAAGAAGGAATAGTTTTGCTTAGTTGGGTTACCTGGGTAGAAAGCTCCAGATGACAGCAAATTGAGTCACTGGGTAGACAGGTAAACTCCATGGAGCGGCCAACCCTTCCTGGTGGGAAGGTAGTACTGGGGTCAGGGCAGGCAGGGTGCATAGCCTGTGGGCTGTAGCAGGTGGCCCTGCTGGCCATTCCCTTTCCCTTAGCAGCCAGCCATGCCCTGGTCTGTACCTGGGAACTTGTAGTGGCCCAGTTTTACACTGACATTCCTAAAAGGACAAGTAATTGCCTGAGGTCGCATGAGGAACCACAGTCAGTAGAATGCACTGGGTTGGAGCATCACCTTCCCTTGCTTCTGAGTAACCTGGGTGCTTGACACTTTCCCCAGGGAGCTGCTGTGAAGGAAGGCAAGTTGGATGTTGAGAGATCTGAGGTGAAATTGGAGGAGGAGAACGAGAGCCTGAAGACTGACCTGAAGAAGCTAAAGGATGAGCTGGCCAGCACCAAGAAAAGTGAGGGTTGTCCCCTTCTTATACCCTGTCCCCCAGGACCCATTGCTCACTGCCTGCCCCTTATACCAAGTATAAGGAATACATTTCATGTGAAAGCTCAAGAACTGGGTGGAAACAAATCCACGCCCAAATGTGGCTGAGCTTAGCCCACTGCTAGATGGGCTCAATGGTTTGAATAGGTCTTTGAGAAGCCCTGGCAGCTACTGTGCATGCTTTACTAGTGTGTACTATGGGTTTCCTGTCAGAGAGCTAGGCAGGGGGAGCCCCAAGATGCCTTGGAGCTGAGACTGAAAGGAGTGTCAGGAAGGGAGTGGACAGGAATGTGTGGTGATTTTTCTTTCCTTTATAAAATTTTTATTATTATTTGAAATCTTAAACCATCTCTGAGCTGGCCTTCCTATTTTTCCTCCCCACTCCTAGGTTGACTCCAGACTAGTTGTTCAGAACGGTAGGCTTTGGCCACTGCTACTTTGCAAGGCATCACTATCACCAGGGGTCTTACCTTGAGGCTGAGATTTTGCTCCTTGCCTCTGTCAGCCTCCTAAAAGGTCACTCATGCCGTGAACTATTAGTGTTCCCTCCATTGAAGGGAACAAGGAGGCAGATCATCTTTTTTTTTAAACTCCATGTAACTGTTGGGTCATCTCTTTCATTATCCCTGCTGTAGAGGTCTATAAATACAGACACTTTTTTTTTGGTCTTTTTGAGACAGGGTCTCCCTGTAGCCCTGGCTGTCCTGGAACTCATTATGTAGACCAGGCTGACCTTGAACTCACAGAGATCCGCCTGCTTCTGCCTCCCAAGTGCTGGGATTAAAGGCGTGCGCCACCACACCTGGCTATAAATACAGATACATTTTATTTACAAACACTAGAACCTATCTCTATAATCTCATTTGAGACAGATTCGGAGTTTTCCCATGTTTTAAAAATATTTTATTATTGGGGCTGGAGAGATGGCTCAGCAGTTAAGAACACTGGTTGTTCTTGCAGAAGACCCGGGTTTGAATCCCAGCACCCACATGACAACTGTCCGTAACTCCAGTCCCAGGGGATCCGACAGCCTCTTCTGACCTCTGCAGGCATTGCATGACACGGAATGTATTGCCTGCACGTGTGTAAGTGCACCTGTGTTGTACAGTGCCCACGGAGGTCAGAAGAAGGTGTTGATCCCCTGGAACTGGGGTTATACACAGTTGTTAGCTGCCATGTGGGTGCTGGGATTTGAGCTCGGGTCCTCTGCAAGACAAGTCAGTGTTCTTAACTGCTGAGCCATCTCTCCAACCCCTAGTTTTCCCATGTTTTAAGCAGGTAGGTTCATTTACTACCTAATCTTAGTCCTTTAATTTCTTCTTGTCTACATTCATATCACTGCCAGAACTTGAGAAAGCTGAAAACGAGGCCCTGGCCATGCAGAAGCAGTCTGAGGGCCTTACCAAAGAGTATGATCGCCTGCTGGAGGAGCATGCTAAGCTACAGGTGAGTGTCAGTATTTCCTCCCAACCTGTGCAGGTACAGGTTTGGGTGAATTCCTGTAGCATACTTCTGGGGAGGGCTAGGGACCTGCTAGACTCTGCAGGAGGTCCAGGTAGCTTGCCATTGTTGCTTTCCTGCTCTCCCTTGCTGCCTCCTTTATTGCAAAGTGTGAGCCTAGGGCAGACCTAGCTGACAGAACCATTTGTGCAGGAGGTGGGGTGTAGCCTAGTATTAGATGACTGGGCTGGAACCTGCTGTGGACAGCCCTTGTCAGTGGGTTTGCTTTTTCTTCTCTGGGCCTTTCCTACCTTAAACCCTCCAGCCTCAACAGGGTCTTTACATTCTAGGCCATCCCCAGTTGTGGTATCGGGCTATATCAAGAGCATACAAGATGCTGGGCATGGTGGTACATGCCTTTAATCTCAAAATTCAGAAAGCAGAGGCAGGCCTGGTCTACATAGCACATTCCAGGTCAGCCAGGGATACATAGTGAGGCCCTGTCTTAAAAAACAAACAAGGAAAAAAAAAAGAACATACAAAGAAAGCCAGGTGTGGTGTCACACATAGTTATAATCCCAGTATTTAGGAGGCTGAGGTAGGAGGATTGAGAGTTCCAGGTCAGCCTGGAATAGTGAGACCCTGCCTCAAAAAAAACAAAACCCCTCAAAAACAGAGACCTGCTTTGGTCCACTTTTCCTGTGGGACAGGCAAAGCCTGAGTCAAGTAAGGAGAAAGTGCCTCAAAGGGGCTATCTGTTGCCATTGCCTGCTGCCCCAAGCCTCATTCAAGTCCTTTAGGAAACCTCAAGGGTAGCTGGTAGCCCAGGTGGTCAGGAGGGTGGGTAGGAAGGGCCAAGTAAATACCCCTGAGTTTATCCAGCTTGGATCAAGTAGTGGATGAGAGGAATGGCCTGGGCCCTTAGTGTACACCAGGCTATGGGGGGGCGGGGTGTGCACATGCGTGCGTGCGTGCGTTCGTTCGTTTTGTGTGTGTGTACGTGTACGTGTACACCAGGCTATTGGGGGTGGGAGGGGGTGGTGTGTGCTCATGCTTGCGTTCGTTCGTTCCTGACTGTACATGTGCACATTGTGTGTGAGTGTGTGAAGGCCAGGGGACAACCTTGGGTATTACTCTTCAGGAGCCATCCATGTTGTTTCATGAGATAGGATCTTTCATTGGTCTGGAACTCACTGAGTAGACTATACTGGCTGGCTGTTGATCTGCCTGTCTGCCTCTCTAGCTGTGGGATTATGAACATGCAGCACTGTGCTTGGCTTTTTATGTGTATTCTGAGGATTGAACTTAGGTCCTCAATGCTTGTGTGGCAGACACTATCTCCCCACCTCTAAGGACTTAGGTTTTGAGAGTACTAATAGAAAGTACACAAAGTTGGGAAGGCACTGAATTGGGCATTGAAAGCTGGCCTGCTTTCTGTGTGCCCAAGAGGACATCTTGGTTCTGGTCCCATACAGTAAAAGAGAGCTGCAGTGGAGGCCTCTAGCTGCTACCCCACCCTCTATGGAGTTCATTCTACTGAGGTCCTGGTAGTCCTCCCTTGGCATTAGGTCCAGGGTCTTTCCTAGTGGATGCAATGGGCTGACACACCCACTCTGGTAAGCTTTTGGGTGCTGCTAAGTGTGGGACACCTTACTTGCCATGAACCAAGCTTGGCCTTTGGGGCCTAAGACTAGCGGCAAAAGTGGGCCCTGGCAACTTACTTCTTTGGGATTTCTGTCCCTTTCTAGGCCTCAGTACATGGTTCCTCGGACAAGAAGAAGGAATGAGGGCTTGTCTCTTCCCCTGCCTGCAGCTGGCTTCTACCTGGCCTATACTTACTGCTTCCTGGGAATTCAGCCTTTCCAGTATTTGGGTTCACTTCCTTCTACTTCACCAATTCTCATCCACAGCTTATAGCTCATCATCTTGCCCTTTTTCCACACACTGCCAGCATACCACAAGGGACTTGATTGATACTCATTCAGACTGATTTTGCCATTCACCTGCCTGGCCAGGCCACTTTCCACTCCTAGAAGTGTAGAGGGCACTTGTGACCTGGCCTATGTTTGAGCCCCTTTTGTTTTGACATGCTGATGTATCATGAAGCAGGCTGTGAAGCAGGCCAACTAGTTTTTTTCCCCTGGGGCCAACTAGTTTTTTCCTGGGGGCAATAAAGTTTGTTGTTATCATACAAGGTGTTTGTGTGTAACTGAAGCTGCAGGGATGTTTCTGCTCTTCCCCTCCCAAAGATGTAGAGTGGCCAGGGAGGTTGCAGAGGCTCTCTGTGGGTTTTTTTTTCCTTGAGCTTGTTCCTAGCCCCTGAAGGCCAGGCTCACACTTGCCCTCAAAGCTCCCGCCCTCTCTGCCCGTGCTCCTGCCTTTCCCCCTCCTGTTCCCCCTTAGCTGGGTTAGGCCCCACTTTATGGCTCTTGGGGAGTGTCTGTCCTGTCAGTCTTCCTGGGGGTTGGCAGCTGTCTGGGGAGCTTGGTAAACCAACAGGACTTCCTGGTGGTAGACTTGACTGCCTTCTCTGGGTTCCTGTTCATCACATTCAGGACAGATAGAACATGGCAGAACGCCACCAGTCACTCCCTGCCCTACCCCCTCCTGAAGGTTTACAGCATGACCTCTGACTAATGCTGACTGGGAGAGGAGACTTGTCCTTGGCAGTGACCTAGAGCCGGCCAGGGCAGAGTCAGGCAGTGGAAAGGGGCTGTGTACTGGCTAGGTGCCGTGTACTGGCTGGGTACCTCTGCTGCCCACTAGCTCTGAAGACTTCCTGGATGTGACCTTGCTCTACACTGGCTTGCTGAGTTCATACCCCTACCACTCACTTCCTCGATGTAGGACCAGCCTGAACCTAAGCTGCTTTCCAGCACGGCACAAGAAAGGACCTGTCCCTGATCAGGTGCTTGTCTTCTGCCCCACCCCTCATCCCCCCACCCCCAGGGTGTGTACCATGCCTGCTGTCTGTGAGAACTTGGTGGAAGGATTGAGGGAGCAGGTTAGAATGTCTTGTGGAATTGGGGTGACTCCTGAAGATTCTAATGTTGGCCAGGTGGTTGACAGCCAGCCAACCACTCCTACCTGACTTGTGTGGGACTAGGTCAGCAGCTGCCTTCTTGAGCATCCTGTCCTCCTCCACCTTTAAACCATGGCTGCTTATGGAGTCCACCCCTTCCCTAGCAGTCTAGAGGTGATGCCCATGGGGGCAGAGGCATTCAGGTGACACTCTCTGGTTGCTATGCCAAGGCTTAGGGCTAGTCCAGTTTTCCAGGAAGTGTTCTGGACTATGTTGGACCTCCCTGAGCTCACCTGTCTGTGCTTTGGCAGGCTAAAGTCCAGATCACCTCTCCTGCCTTTCCACCTGATCCTGGCCACTACCTTCTCTGGCCTGGCTTCTGGGACACCCTGTCGGACAGTGCACCACTTCCATTTTTTCAGTGTGCTTGGGCTGTCTTGAGGACGAAGATTATTTCTTGATCTTGGTTTCCTAACCCCTCATGAAGGAGATTTCCTGAGTAAATACAAATAGATCCTACCTACTACTGCAAGACTCAGTTAACTGGCGCACCTCTGTGAAGTTGCTTTTTTGTGATGTCACCCTCTTCTGTCTTTGGCAGTATAACAGGTTGCTGGAAGGCCTTCAGCCTGCAGGGGAGGAGAGAGTAGCAGACCAGCACTCATTCAGAGATAGAGACCTGGTACAGAGAGCCTGAGGCTGTGGGCTCCTTCCTATGGGTGGAGCTCCTTGGGAGCAGGGTGGTGTGGGGGCCTGGAAAGGGTGTTCTAGTGTACCCTTAGGAAGAGCTTTTGCAGCTGAAGATGACAGGCTGGAGATATGCGGGTGGACAGCAGGCAGGAGTTTGAAGGTGGCACTCTTGGCAAGAGCAGGGGTCTGTGGAGGAAGAAAGATGGAGAGAAACCAAAGAACAGTGCCAAGAAGGGGGCAGGAAGGCTGTAGCACACTCCAGGTCTTAACTGCCTTCTGGTCTGCCAGGAAGAGAACTGCTCTGCACAAAACAGAGCCAGGGCTGTCTGGTTACCGTCCCTCCTGTGGTGCCACACACTCATCAGAGGCTGCCTTTCTAAGACCTGTCTAGACTGATTCCTCTCCATTTCTTCTTTTATATTGTGAAGCATACATGCATTTATATACTGATGACACACAAAACATCACCTTCACCATTTTAGTGGCATTAAGCATGTTCACTCGTGCGACTTCTAATACCCCCATCTGTCTCTAGAACTGCTCATCTTCCCACATTGTAGCTGTCTCCATTAAACAGTGCTCCCCTAACTCTAGTCCCTAGTACTCACCATTCTACTGTTCTAGGGGTCTTTTATGAGTGGACTCATACAATGTTCTTTCATAGTTGCCTCATTTCACAGAGCATCATGTCCTTGAGGGCCATCCAAGTAGCATATGTTTCAGTTTTCTCTTTCCAGCTACGTAATACCCCATCCTATGGACATGATGTACTTTGTATATTCGTTCATGTACACCTGGGTCCCTTCCTCCACTAGGGATTGAGCGTAGAGCCGTGCCCATCCTAGGGAAATGCTCTACTACTGAGCTGTATCCCCCAGCTCTGTATGTTTTGAGACATAGTCTTGCTAGATTGTCTAGGATGGCTTTGAACTTGCTCTGTACCCAAGAAGGCTTTGAATTTGTGATTCTCCCTTAGCCTTCCAAGTAGCTCAGCTTATGGGCCTGGGCCACAGGGCACAGCTAACCCTTTTTGGGGCCAATACTGAGGACTGAACCCAGGACCGTGCATGTGGTAGGCAAGTGCTTTTTCATTGTACATATCCTCAGCTTCATTTTGCTTTTTAAATTATATTTAAAAAATTTTTTCAACAGATTGATTTTAACTGTATGTGTGTATCTGTGCACTTGAGTGCAGGGTCCCAACAGAGGCCAGAGTTGGAATTATAGGCGGTTGTGAGCATGGGTGCTAGGAATTAAATTAATGTCCCTTTTAAAGAGCAGCACACACTCAACTGCTAAGCCATATCACCAGCCCAACTTTTTTTTGTGAGTCAATGTTTCCAGGCTGCCCATAAAATCACTATGTAGCCCAGGCAAGAACTTTTGATCTTCCTGCCCCAGCATCCTGACTATAGTTGACTCTCTCCCCACTCGCCTGCCCAAGACCTCTCTTGTCGAGGTCTTCATGATCTTGCCACACAGTGGTCTACAGTACCATCATCCTTGACCCTGCAGGCAGCCAGGGCACTGTATTTGGCTTTGTCTCCTTCTGTACCCACTCATGCCCCACCCCCAGTCCTTCCAGGGTTTGTCATCTGTATGTGTCTAGAACTTCTGAAGTTTTAGCTCCAGACCAGACTTTTCTAGAAGTGCAAACTCCTCTGTCTGTTTGCCAACTAGACATCTCTAGTTGGATGACATGCCCAGAGCCAACTTCCAGTTGTCCCCATTGCAGAACCTGGCAGCACCATTCTTCCCATGGCTCAGGCCAAATCTCTGGTGTTTGCCTTAATTCCTCACTCTTGCATCATGTAGTTATCCACAGTCCCTGCTTGCCTTGCCCCCAAAATAGACCCCAGTCCCCCCTCCACTGCTACCAACTGGGTCTAGATACTGCTGCTTGGCCCCTGAACTATTGCCCCAGTCTTAACACTTACATTCCGTGACCCTAGCATGTCCTTTACCTTCAGATCTTGAAGGACTACCTGCTCAGTAACACTTTTTCTTGTTTTTTTGGAGACTGGGTCTCTAGCACAGGCTGATCCACCTGCCTCAACTTCCTGAGTGTTGGGATTATAGACCTGAGCCACATGTCTGATTCAGTAACATTCTTGGAGGAATTCATGGCTGCAACCTACCCTTGCTGCTGCATTTGTTCCAATTGAGCTTACTGTCACCCTCCTCTCCCCAAGTATGTCAGCTCTAGGGGATTTTATGAGGCTTTATGACTGCTTTCCTTCCTTGCTCTATTTTCAGTTCCTGGAGTGGTGCTAGGTTCCTCAGAGTGGGCCATGCTGAGTGCTGGGGCTGGAGGACAGTTCCCCTATGCCTCTTGGCATCTGCACCTTATCCTTTCAGAGAAGCAGAGGCAGGAGCGAGCTTTGGAAAATGATGTGTTTTTATTGCTATGTTTGCAGTGGCTTTTTAGCACAGTAAGAACATCCCCAAAGACCCATACCCTCACCCAGCCCCACCCCCCTGATCTACGTCTGGCCCAGTGTGAAGGAAGCCTTTCTAAGGGGCTACTTGTCTGTCTCAGGCTTGATGGGACACAGATGTGGGTTTAAGCTGCTACACGGAAGACTTTAGATGTCAAAAGTATATCAGCCTTTAGCTTAGAGGTGGGAGCCATGCCCAGGATCCCTTCCCTGGGCTGTGTCCATGGGTGATCCCTGCAATCATGCCCAGCCCAGGGAGTAGGGTATGGGTAAACCTGAGCATGCCAGGTGAGTAGACCCAGATCTCTGGGATAGAATGCTATACAGCCTTTCATCTTGAAGACTTGGGGGCAAAAGGGCAGTGTGGGGACACCCTTGAGGCCCCCGTCATGCACTTTCCCACTCCAGAGTGGGGCTGGAGACCACACACACATCCATACAACAAACTTGCATACTCAACAGCCTGAAGCTTTTGTTTTGCCTATGAAAATTAAATCTATAAATTCACACTCCTTGGCTAGGGGTAGAAGAGGAAGGTGGGGCTGCGAGGGAAGGGAGTGATAAGGAAGGGATGATTTGGGCTCTTTTTAGAAATATACAAGCAGAAATCTCACACTCTCAAGTTTTTTTTTCTTATAAAATGTGCAAAATACAAGCCTCCTTTGCCTAGAGGCATCATTTACTTCTGGTATTCACCTTCACTAAGAGATAAGAGATCTATACATCCTCTACACACTCAGACACATGTGCACTCAGACCTGCGCTCTTACAATTGATATTGGTGGCGATTGGCGCAGGAACCACAAGGTTCCATTGCTGGCTGGCTCTCTAAGCTTCTAGAATAGGGATGGGAACAGGGGTCTAGTCCAGCTGAAACATTCACCTTGGTTCTGCTTCCCTTCTCTTGCTTCCCCTCCTATCCCACCTTATTCTTTTCTCCTCCCCTTCAGTTTCCCAAGCTGCTGCTGCTGCTGCCTCTAGGATGAAGGTATGTGACAGCACAGCTTGGGAGGCAGGCAGGTAGGCCTGGCAGGGCTAGGAGATGGGTCCTGGGCACTGGGAGGAAGGGTAGGAGGCAGGGCCTGAAAGCAACACAAGGACCAGCTTGACTGGGGGTGGGGAGGAGAGGCATCTATTTTTGGTGGATTGATATTTTTGGCGTTTTATTAAAAATGGAAAAAGTTATTTTTTAGCACTCATGGTGCTTCCTCCCCTCCCCCCAGGCAGACCCCCAAACTGTCAAGGATAGGCAAGCCCCCTGGAGGGGTGGGGTGGGGGCTAAAGCAGGGGCTGCTATGGCTACCAGAGGATGAGCTGGTGATGTGAGCTGAGGGTGCCTGTCACATGACACTCTCCACCACGACGACCTTGCTGCTCTCGGACACCGGGGTCAGGGTGGTCAGGCCCCTGACATCCGCATCCTGAGCTCTGTATTCCAAGTGGTGGAGGCCCCAGATAGGCTGGGTCAGGTGCTGCCAGCGCTGTGAGAGAGGAGGGCATCTTTGAACCTCCCTGTCCGAGGGTCACTTGCTCCACCCCATGACAACTGTCTCTGCCTCTGTAGCTCCTACTGCCAGCCGTGGAGGCAGGGCTGCTCCTCCTAATGCACCCTTACAGGCCCACTCTGTACTGGGAGACAAGATTGAGTGGTCCCTGAGTAGAGCAAGGGAGGAGGGAGGTGGGCCTTGCTTCCCTCCCACCACATGAGGCCATAATGGATCAGCTTTCCTTCCATCCACTCCTAGTCTGAGCTGGACAGGCACCTGCCCCTCCAAGGGAAGGGTTGGTGGGGGGCTTACCTCTGCCATGGTACCCTTTGCCCTGAGGAGACAGCCCAGCAGATGGAGGGGCACACACAGCATGGAAGAGAGTGCGAAGGCCCAGCCCATGGCTTCCCCCCACCATGGGTACACATAGGTGTTGTTATAGACCAGCGGCTCATAGTACACGATGTTGAAGATGAAGATGCCCTGTGGACACAGATGCCTGCAGTCATCAGGCCCCTACCACACATCTCACTTTCCCAGCTTTCCCAGCCTTACCATGCAGACCAGCGGGGTGAAGAAGGACCAGCACCATTTCATCCAGGGGCAAGGTCGGTACCCAATCATACAGGCAATGTCATCCATGAAGCGGTCAGCTCCTGGTGTGATGTAAGGGGGACATGAGGGCTGGAGTTGGAGACCACCTACCTCCACTCCACCTCACAATTCCCAGCCCTACCCTTGACCCTGACGTACCATAAACCCAGGCGACCACCACACATTCCCAAAAAGCCTGCCACAGCAGGGTAGTGCCACTGGCTGAGTAGTAGTCAAACAGCTGGAAGACGTACATCCCGCCCTGAGGAACAGAGCCAGGTCAGGGAAGATGGTGGCCTGTGGCTAGAGACTGGCAGTAGCCCACCCTGTCCCCACTCACATCGGTCACCATGGAGAGATCGATGATAAAGCAGAGGACACAGCAGAGGGCCACGGAGATCTCCCTTTGGAAACGGAAGTAGTAGGAGGCCGGGAGGAGATCCAGGAGCCCGGTGATGAAGCCCTCCACACCTACAAACTGTGGCCAGGGCAGCTCAGGTCCGGGTCCCTCTACATCCTCTTGTACCTCTTGCCTAGTGTGCCAAGCCCCCTACTGACCAGCCCCTACCCGACTCCTGCCCTGGAGCTCCTGCAAACCTGGCTGTCCAGACCGAGCAGCAGCAGCATGAAGAAGAACAGGGCAGCCCAGAGTGGGGCCACAGGCATCAGTGTGACAGCCCTGGGGTAGGCGATGAAGGCTAGGCCGGGCCCTGAGTGCAAAGATGCAGGGTGAGATAGGCAGCCTGCACCATCTGGTGCACCCTAATGCTCAAAGTCACCCCCCTCAGGTGCCAGAACAACGGATAAGGCCAGGGCATGTGGAGAGGAATTCTTGTCTCAGCATGGCTAGGCCTGTTGAGATCCTACAGGCATCTCCACACCAGGGACCTGGAGGACTGTTATGTATCATTGCAGCCCTCACCCTGTAGAAGCAGGACTCACACTCCTTTCTCTGGCTCCAGTAGCTATAGCAGATGATCGTCGCCCTGGGGTGACACAGTAGGGGCTGGAGGAGCCTCTCTTTTCATCTGTAGCACTCTTTACTACAAGGACACACCCTGCAAGCCCTAGGAGTGGGTGGAAGGGGCCCCCAGCTAGGGGAGAACAGCCGTGCCTCAGCTGCTTAGCCATCTGAACAGCTAGCTGAACTCATCTGTCACGTTTCAGAATTTGTTTCATGTGTGCCCAACATCAGGGCAGTGCTGCCTCTCTGGAGGTAGGTTGGGCAGCTTACCTGATTCTGCCACCTTGGAGATGTGCACACCCTGCTCTGTGGCCATAAAGCCCAGGATGGAGAAGACGACAAAGCCAGCAAAGAAGCTGGTGCCACTGTTGATGAGTGCCAGGATGATGGCGTCCCTGGGGGTGGAGGGGCAGAAAGTCCCAGTTTAAGTTGGCCACTGCTCTAGGGCAGGGCAGGGCAAGGCAGGCAGAGTAAAGGCAGGTGCCTACTTGTAGCAGTTGTTGTTGAAGCGATTGTAGCTGCCCAGGGCTGTGAGGGCCCCCAGGCCGATGGCGTAAGAGAAGAAAATCTGGGTCCCAGCATCTATCCATACCTAGAGATGAGCCAAGAGTGGGGAACATGAGGGTTCTGATCAACAGGCCACACCTCCAAGCCCTGCTGCTACATAATCTTTCCTCACCTGAGGGGACCCCAGCTTTGACCAGTCAGGCTTGAGATAGTAGACAATACCATCCAAGGCTCCAGGCAGCAACACTCCACGCACCAGCAGCACAACAAGGACCACGTAGGGGAATGTAGCAGTGAAGTACACGATCTGGGGGGCCAGGCTGTTCAGAGAGGCTCTGGACCCCTGCTCCCCCTTAGACCCCTCCTGCCTGAGTCTGGTAGCTGGCTCCCAGTGCTACTGTGAGCTGACCAGTTGTCCCATGCTGCAGGCATGCTCAGAGCTCAGGGGTGAGGGCAGCTAGTAGCACTCATTCTATTCCTGAGTCAGGGACACCACCCAGGAAAGCTAGCCGAAGCCCAGGCAGCCTTATAGCAAGCTCTGGTCACTGTAGAGGCAGGGGGAGATTGCCGTGGCCTTCTAAATTAGTGAGGGTCTCTACACCTGTCAGATATTTTATAAGAAAGGAATCCACAGGAGTGGGTGACTTCTGAGTGACAGCTTCTGGGGCATGCCTGTGTGGGGACAGGAAGGTATGGGGAGTGTATGACAATCTGACATGGAATGACAAGCACATGTCCCTCAGGGGGTTGGGGTTGAGGCTTGGTGATATTGCTGGAGACCAGAGACAGACCCAGCCCAGCATCCAAGCACTGGGGACCCTGCTGTGAATGAATCTTGATGTACTGGAGTCTTGCCCTCCAGGAACCTGACTCACATGGCTCAACATTCTTACATGTCCACCTGTCTCCGTAACCTGAAAGGGAACACCTGAGGAAGGATGTGTGATGTTTTCCTGTGGGGCTTGAGGATCAGAGAGGCAGGGGAAAGCCCCACCATAGACCAGGTCAACTGAGAGTTATGAAATCAACTTGGGCATCGAGGGAGGAGTAGGGAGAGACAGTGGGAGAGGGAGGAGGGGGAAAGGGAAAGGGCCAAGATGAGATGGTGGGCACAGGGAAGGGCAGCTAATGCCTGGGCCTTTCATCCTCAGGACTGAAGGCTGCTGCCCCTAGGTATGAACGTTGAGGACAAATGCACACCAATAGGGTGGGAATAAAAGGGATTTAAGGACCTGCCCCTGCTGCAGGCCAAAGTTTCAGTCCAGTCACTTCCTGTCCCTGTGTCCCTTACAGACATGCAAACCTCCCAGGCAATGCTGCCCCCACCCTGCCCACCTCCAGGTGTACCTTTCCTGTTGACTTGACTCCCTTCCACACACAGAAGTAGACCAGCACCCAGCAGGCCAGCAGGCACAGGGTCACCTCCCAGTTGAGGGCACCTGGCACCTCTAGCCCTGCAGAGAGCCTCAAGACTTTATTCCTAGGGTAAAGAAGAAAGGAGGGCACCTGAGGGTCATGTCAGCAGAGGGCACAGAGGCTGGGATATGCTTCGGAGTTGCTGGATCTTCCCTCACCACAGCCCTAGTCCAGGTCCCACCACCAGATGTCAAGCCCAGAAGGTCCTGATCAGCTGAGGGTGGACAGAGGATTACCTCAGGCCACCATCCTCACCCCCACCCTCTGCACATATGCAATCTCAGCTCCCTTACAGGTTTGCATGACAAAATAATATGTCATGTCGCTGGAGGAGCAAGGCCTATTCCAGACCTGGGACTGGCCTAGGTATTCCTGGAGGATGGGAAGAGGTAAGGCACAGGAGTGGCTGTTCTGTGTCTCTGGTCATGTGTGCCGAGGGCTGGACCACATGTGGGGGGCCCAAGGGATGAGATATGATGGGCTTGGCCTAGAGGCGCCTGACTCACTCCCAGAACTCGATGACAGGGGACCGGCGGTCAGCAAGCTGGTCACATGTGAGGTTGGCCAGGCTGGCATTGGCACAGTCTTCGTGGCGAAAGATCTCTACGCAGTCAGGAGTGTTCCAGGTGTGGCCACACGTGGCCCAGGGCAGAGTGGTGGTGAAGGACTTGACCAGGTAATAGAAACCCCAGGCCAGCACCATGATGTAGTAGGTGTTGCAGTAGAAGACGATCACCATGGAGGCATAGCCCAGGCCTGAGGATGAGCCAGAAGCTTCCTTTCCTTCTGGGCTTCTTTGTGGACACTTTTCTACCACTTCCATTATCTCCCTTCTAAGAGATGGTGCTGAGTTCCTGCTGAGCCCCTAGTAACTTGTTCCCTGTACCAGTTATCCTCTCCCTTCCATCCTACCAGACTCCCCAAGCTTTTCAAGCCCCCTTGTCTGTGTTCCAACAATAGGCCACCTCCCCCTGTCTGTCTCCTACTAACACTTGCCCTGTTCCTTACCACCCTCTGTGCTTCAGCTTTCCACCCAGCCCAGAGCTAAGGCAGCCCTCTCGTACTCTGTGTGCTTAATACATCTCTGTTGATTGTCTAGCCCCAAATGCCTGACCCTCTCCCAGGTCCCACTGCCATCCCACAATCCCAGAAGGCAAGACTCCACTTCTGTCCCCCCCCCCCCCCCCAAACCCCAAAAGGAAAAGCCCCCCCTTTTGCCCCCCCCCCCCCGCCCCAAGTAGCTTCTAGTACACATCAGCTGGGAGAGCTTTCCAGTAACCCGAGGAAGTATGGGAGATGGTCACCTCTTCAGTGGGCAACCTTTATAAATCGCCTCAGCCCTCTATACTCAGCTTCCTCATGGAAAGTAGTAGGACCTCCCTAATGAGTCAAGTGTGTCCAACAGGTCCTGTCCCCAGCCTGGCTATTTCTGCTCCATCCTTTCCCTTGTAAGGAGCCCTGCTCCCACCCCCACCGCTACTTCCTGACTCTCCAAGTTAACGGTGTGGTCTACAGGTCCTGTAGCTTCTCCCCTAAGCCTAGGAGGGTATCACCTGACCCCCAATCTGGTGCTCAGGGTAAGACAAGATTTCTTCAAGTGGGTCACAGCCATGCTCTGTTCCCCAGTCCTCACCCTAGCAGTGGGACAGGGGAGAGTTGAGAACTGAACCAGGGCAGCTCACCTTTGAATAGGGGACAGATGTTCCAGACATTGATGCTGCCGGCTTTCATGAACTGGCCCAGTGAAATTTCCAGGAAGAAAATGGGGATTCCTCCAACCAGGGCGATCAGGACATAGGGAATAAGGAACACACCTGGGGGAGGAAGGAATAGTATGGGCTCAGGATGCCTCCTGATGACCCCATGAAGTCCAGGCACTTGCACATGTTGGTCCCCTACAGCAGCAAGGAACTTGACCCAAACACCTCAGCCAGACTATCCAGGACTTACAGACCAAAGGTCCAGGCAAAGCCTCAGCTGTAGCCTGCACCCTAGCCCCATGACTTCTCACTGGGTGAATCAGTGCGGGGTGGTCACTGACTCAGAGGCCTAAGGTGAACGATTCAGGGAGATGAGCTCCGGCTGTGTTGCGAGGAGGTGCAACAGCAGCACCTAACCACTGGACCCTGTTCCCTGGGCCACCGTGGCAGGGGGCAGGGGGGGAATGGGACAGGGACCTTGGTTTGCAGATGTCTAAGCCCCATGGACACCTAGGGTGACCTAACAGGGGGCATGCATGGGCTTATGCATGCAGGCCATTCCTTGTACCGCAGTTGTTTGCCAGGCAGCAGCACAGGAAGGAATGGCAAGGATGTGTGTGTGTGTGTGTGTGTGTGTGTGTGTGTGTGTGTGTGTGTGTGTGGGGGCCAGGGTGGGTGTTCCAGTGGGGGTGCTTCTTAAAAGTAAGTGCACCACTCTCCCCTGTTGCACACGCACTTGGAGTCT